ATAATGACATTTATATTTTGGAAAGTTTTGGGTCAAGTAGATTATGTTATTTGGTATGAGTAGACAAATTTAATCGAATCGTATGAATTGATTTGCGCTGTTTGAATAGGTTAATGTACCCGAAGCAAGTAGAATATCTTCTTGAATTTAAGTAGTCTACTTTAATAAGTATGACTTGATTATTTTAATTGATTCAAGCATAGTATTTTAACTGAGATTTTAAGGTAACTATTAAAGATCGATAAAGCATGTGGTGATTTGTTTCACATGGGAAAATTACTCAATAATGGTAAATTTAGTCTCTTTATTTAATTAACGTAAAAATGATTTAAATATTAAGGGTATAAAAAGAGAAACTTAAAAGTGTAGGGAAAGCGTTAGATCGGATCTAAGAATGTATCAATTAAGTGAGAACAAATGCGAGTATGCTTATACGAATAAGATATTGAGGATTTCATACGATATGTGTGACGGGCTCAAGATCGTCTACATTTAAGAACAACCCATTGAAAGGACCGGTGGACGAATCTACTTCAAGGTAGATTTCAGCAGCCATGGAAAGAGTTTATGTATAACCTTACATTTGATATATTACCTGTTGGTCATTATTTTACTTAACGGTTGGAACTTGATTGAGCTAGTTTTTGGCTTGTGTGGCGGGGACTGGCTTGTGCAGAGGACATAAATAATGTCGATGTAGCTTGGTGGTTTTCTTTAAGTGATGCATGTGTTGTGAAAGCATATGTCTAATTATATGAGAATAGAATTGTTAAAACATAACTATGGAAGTCTTCCTCAAAATCTTCTTGAGTTTTACTTGTGCTTTACTTCCTACCACATTTATGTATTGACTAATAAATTCTTGAAATATTTTCAAGGGGGAAACGTAACGCGAGCGTAGGACTGTTTGGGGTCATCGCCAACGCTAAGAAGTCCTAGAGTCTTTTGTTTGTACATGTAATAGTGTAAATATTGGATTTGTTTTGAAGGTTGCTATATGTATTGAGTAAGGACTCGGGAAGAGTCAACCACTTGTGGTTGTTTTGTTATATCCGTTATGTAAATATATTAGAGGTATTTAATTAGCCGGTACACAAGGGATTGTGTTGCTTTATAAATGTATTGTTCCTTCCAGAATCGTTGAGTTAAACTTTGAGCCAGGTGGGGGTGTTCTTGTGTCGATAGGAAGCAGGGTTATGTCTTGAGTATTTTGAGTTAATTTGTTTATAGTTATCCATTTGTGACAGATGTTTGTACCCTCGAGTTGGGGTGTTACAATTTTGATATCAAAGCCCAAGTTTCATAGACTCTGTAGACAAGTGTGTTTAGGTTGGTAGTGGACAAGTTTATGGTGTCCATGGTGGTAAGGGAAGACAAGTGTAAATGCTAACCCTATGTTATTGTATATGTGTGCTTACTTATGTTGAGTGTGTTACTATAATATAATAAGAATTTATATTTATTAGGGTTTACACTTATTGTAATACATATATCACATAAAGAGTATATTTGTCTTTTACATGTTTGTTTAGTAACTATAAATACAAGATTGATAATGAGAGGTAAGGTATATTGAAACCTCTCTTTGCCTCTCTTATATCGTGTTAAGTTTGCCTCTCTTCTAATGGGCTGGTTCTCCCTCTGATGGGTGATCAACCACTAGTTATTTTATTTTCTTGGGAGATAACGTCGTTTCATGGAAAAGTAAATAATAAACAATGGTGCACGATCCTTTGTTGAGACTAAGTATAGAGCAATAACATATACAACTAGTGAGTTGACATGGTTATTACAGTTCTTTCAGGAAATTGATTTTTCAGTTCAACTTCCTTTACAGTTGTTCTGTGATAATCAAACAGCTCTTCATAATGCTTCCAATCCAGTGTTTCATGANAATTGACATGGTTATTACAGTTCTTTCAGGAAATTGATTTTTCAGTTCAACTTCCTTTACAATTGTTCTGTGATAATCAAACAGCTCTTCATAATGCTTCCAATCCAGTGTTTCATGAGAGGACCAAATATATTGAAGATGACTGCCATTTTATTCGAAAAAAGATAATAAATGGAGATATTGCAACTCCATTTGTGAGATTTGAGGCTCAACTTGTAGAATGTTCACCTAAACATCGAGTCATACTCGTCTTACTGTTATTTGTTCCAAACTTAAATTATATGATATCTATAGTCCAACTTGAGGGGGATTGTTGAGTGTTACTAAAATATAATTAGGGTTTACACTTATTATAATACATATGCCACACAGAGGGTATACTTGTCTTTTGTATGTATATTCAGTAACTATAAATACAAGATTGATAATGAGAGGTAGGATATGTTGAAACCTTTATTTGCTTCTCTCATATTGTGTTAAGTCTACCTCTCCTCTAAACTTAACAACTTATAATGATTTAGAAGATATACATTATCAAACTTCTCAAGACATGGGATTTTTCAAATATATATTTCGTGTATTCTGCATAGTAATTGTCATAGAGGTCAAACGCTCTTGACTACCAATACACCTCATAGTAGAGTTGGTGCATTAGGTAATCTTAACAATTATGGATAAACAATACTTATCCATCCACACGATTGTATTGGTGTGTCTTGTGTTTCCAAATTATAAGGAAGAATAGGTAAAATTCCTTGCCAGCATAATTACGGGTGCTAAGTTTAATTTTTGAATTTTTCTTGTACAGTTTCATGTTTTTTGAACTCATTTAATCGTTGGCCCTTTTGCATCTATACAAGTAATGCTTGGATTGTTTCAATATTTGATTATTATGTATTGCAAATAGTGTCCTCGTAATATAACTTATTTTTCCCAAAATATTTACGTGCAACAACTAGTTAATCTATACACCAACTTCCACTCAACCACATGATAAAGTCCCTCATTATCTTTTCAATCCTCTTAGCACCTTACATCGCATCTTAAAAAGTGAGATGAAAATGGAAATATTAGTCAATACTGACTGCACCTAGCAAACAGAAACATTTCAGGAATGTTTTGGAAATATTTCAGAAACAAAATGAAAACATACAAAAAAATTAAAATTTTATTTTCAAAATATAATGAAATATTTTGAAACACATTAAAACATTGGTGGAAATATATCGAAATATTTAAAATCATTACAAAACACCTCGGAACATTGCAAAACACTTTCACCATGTTAACCTTTATCCCCTTAGTAATACATAACACATCCACTATCGTCTTTAAATTCAAAAGCTATTGGTCATCCCAAAAGAAAAAATACTTTGTCATTTGCAAACTACAAGTGTGAAATTGAAATCCTATCCCACTAAATCACAAGTCCCGCCACTTAATTACATCGTTCAACCCTAACAACAAGCATTCTCAATCCACCAACACTAAATTGAAAAGACATTGTGATAAAGGATTTCCCTCACTATACCACTAGACGTTCTTACCTACCCCTAGGATTTCCATTAAAAAATTTCAGAGATCCATCTAATGCATACCACCTTTAATCCATTTCTTCCATCTAGACACAAACCCTTTTGTTTCCAAAACTAAATCCACATGATAATAAGTCTTTTCAAAATCAATCTTAAAACACTATATAAAAACCTACCCTCCAACAAAAGGACTTGACAATTCACAACGATCTCACTCAAATCTCCCTCAAGCTTCATCCTATTTTCTTTAACCACATTTCAAGATTTTTGGAAAATTTTCATTGCAAATTCATCCAAACCTAGAGTCTTATTGGTCCTACATCTCAAGATAATACTTCTAATTTCCCACTCTTCAAAATCCCTCTACAACTACCTCGCTTTCCTTTCAACAATGGAACTCCAGTCCAAAACTTCCAATCTAAGCCCATTACCTTCTTGGGAAGAATATAACTTCACAAAGAAACTGAATTTTCACACTCAATACTTTCCTCATCTTCAATCACCACTCCATTGTCCATTTCTGGCTTATTAATGACTTTTTTCTTTCTTCTACAGTTTTCAACCTATTTTGGATTGTTATCACCTTCTTTCATCCACTTTCTCCTTGCGTTTTGCCTCAAACTAATCTTTTCTTAAAAATCACTTCCTCTAATCTATTTGTATGGTCCTATCGTCTTTTTCTCAAACTTGCATATCCCCCACCATTCTCTTCCAATTTATTTAAATCTTCAATTCTCTTCAAAATAGAAATTTTTATGAACCTTACAAGATAATTGCATACTGATAAATTGCTTATATGAATCAACCATCAAATATCCCAAATTCTTAGTAGTATTGTAATTCCCTCAAGAACAAATTCTTCCTCCTCTCTCCAAAACTCCTTGATCTCCTTATAATGCGATATCATGGCCGATCCAGTATTCCCATTTCCCCCTATTGTTGCTTCACCACCTTGAACTCCAAAAAAATTCACCCACTAGTCCATACACCTTGTCAGCAACCAATCAAACCTTTTCTCCCTTCGCACATTTTTTAATCATGTCTTTTTTTCTAGCCAAACAACATGAAATAAAGAGAACTAAATTTCTAAGGCATTTAAAAAAATTTAGGTGATAGAAAAAAATTAGCAAAGAGAATTTTCAATTCAAAAATGCACTTTTTGACTTTTACGTAGACAAAGCCATAATCTATAGACCTTAAAAAAATCATATTTTTAATGAAGTCCAAATAAATGGCCAATTAGTTTCTTGACAGTAACTATCCTTTGTTTATGTACAAAAAGTAATAGCAAAAGAACAATTAGACTGAACTTGGGAAAATTATGACTAAAAAACGATGAAAGAATTCCCAGTCCACCATTAATCATGTGTTATGAAATCACGATCAAGTTACCAAACAAATTAAAATAATGAAAAAAAATATCACATACCAGTACTTGAACATGCTGAGATAAAAAGCACAGTAAGAAACAGCATTTTCATAGTTTGACCGAACACAGGGAAAAGGTTGTCACGAAATTCAACTGATGGTGCATTAAAATTAATATCAGCTAGAAAGATGAACATCCCAGTTTACCTGAATGGCCCTTTAGGATCACGTTTCGGAACTTCTATGGCATCAAGAGCTTCAAAAAGGCAGGTACCATTCCACCATGAACATACACTTTTGTCCACTCTTCTATTCATATTTGAACCAACAAGCCCAGATATTGGAAGAAACTGAACATCTGCACCTTGAATAAAGAATATATGAGAACCGAAAGGCAAGAACTCAGAAACAAGTTGCCCTCGCAATCCACAGACAAAATAGATGGAAATGAACAACAGTAAAGTAGTTTTATGACGGAACGACAGCCAAAGAGTAAATTGTGAAAGGGAGAGGAGAAACAGCTGGGCTGATTTCTTATTTTAGGAGGCATCAGAATGAGCATTGATGTATACAATAACAATAATAACACCCTCGGCATTAGAACCATGAAAGGTTTTAATCATTAGAATTTGTAAGCTCCCCCGCGTAAACCCAGGTTCACCAATCAAATGCACCTATACAATCCAACTAGCATCAGCCAAAAAAATAATTGCCCATGTCCCAAGGAATAATATGTTTACCCCTACTAATTTACAAAACAAAGGGAAAACAATCCAATGGTAGTAGTACATAATAAATCTGCGGGGTCTCATGAGACTCCTTCAATCTATTTCTTCAACTCATCCATTATAAGTTTTAACACACTATTTGACATGAATATATGTAGTTTCTGGTTAAAGTTAGGTACATAAACATAAAAAGCTAAAATGATCAACGCAGATACCTTGCATTTATTAATACATAAGCTCAAGAAGATGATCCTCATTTACCTTTCTTGACATTGTAACCTGAAGCCTTCAGAAATGGTATCATTTTTGACTCAATTTCATCATACCTGGAAAAAGACAACAGCTCTAGAAAAAGGTAACTCATGGAAATCACACATATACACCGAAAACAAAAATGATAAATCACCTCTCTTTTGACCAGTTCACAGTAGGATCATCCATTTTATTTACAACAACAAGCAGCTTAGAGACTCCCAAAGTCTTTGCAAGTTGGACATGTTCGCGTGTCTGTCCACCTCTCTCATATCCAGTTTCAAATTCCCCCTTTCGAGAAGATATTACCTGAATAACTGGGGAGACTTTTAGGAACCAAATGTGAAATTCATTCACATTCCGTATAGGATTTAAAGGTACATAGTGGTACTTACCAGTACACCGATATCAGCTTGAGATGCCCCACTGATCATATTCGGGACGTAACTTTTGTGGCCCTGAAGAGACAATACAAACAATGGAGGAAATGGTCTCTCATCAAACCTCAATCTATTACAAAACTAATTAGTTAATAGATGTATGTCAGCATGATAAAGAGAGCGTGATCAAATGAACCGGAATAACACGAAAACCTTAGACTTGCTGATTAGCACAAAGAATTCCAGAGCATAAAAAATGTACAAATTCTAGAATGTAGCCTGACTTCACGCTAAAGTGAGGTGCAGAGGTCACTCGATAGGCAAGGAGCTAGCTTAAGTGAGCACCGCAGATTCTGATTGCGAACTACGTCATTTTGAACTCATTTTTAACCCTATAAGCACCCCTTAACCCCCAATTTTTCCCATTCTTCTAATTTTCAACCCTAAATATATCTAGAGAGAGTAGGAGAGGGAATCCAGAGAGAGATAAAGTGGAGAAAGGCTAGAAGGACTTGGAATTATTGTAGATTTCAAGGTCGGAGTTTGAATTTCTTGGATTTGATGTAAGGTTCTTTTCCCTCATCTATATTCTATGTTTAATGCCATTATTCATGATTATATGTGATTCCTTGCTAAGACGCACAGACACCATATTTTTTCAAAGTGCCAGTGTCGGACAAGCTAAAATGTGTTTCTATTTTTTTTTATTCTTATTTTTTATTTCTGGACACATTGAAGAGACGCAAACGATAGGTACAAGAAACAGAGAGGACATGTATATTTTGAATTCTTTTAGAGTTTATCAAATGCCTTTATATTTTGGGAGTCATAATCACTACACAAACACAGGAAACAGATAAGGATATGATTTCAGAGGCTAGAAAATGAAATACAAATACAATACATAATTTACATGTCAATAATTGGATAAACATTTGGGGCAATTACGGAATTTTGTAACTAAATGAAAGTTTGTGTTAAAAACTGGGGATGTTGAAATTAAGATGGTATAACTNGAAAAAGGTAACTCATGGAAATCACACATATACACCGAAAACAAAAATGATAAATCACCTCTCTTTTGACCAGTTCACAGTAGGATCATCCATTTTATTTACAACAACAAGCAGCTTAGAGACTCCCAAAGTCTTTGCAAGTTGGACATGTTCGCGTGTCTGTCCACCTCTCTCATATCCAGTTTCAAATTCCCCCTTTCGAGAAGATATTACCTGAATAACTGGGGAGACTTTTAGGAACCAAATGTGAAATTCATTCACATTCCGTATAGGATTTAAAGGTACATAGTGGTACTTACCAGTACACCGATATCAGCTTGAGATGCCCCACTGATCATATTCGGGACGTAACTTTTGTGGCCCTGAAGAGACAATACAAACAATGGAGGAAATGGTCTCTCATCAAACCTCAATCTATTACAAAACTAATTAGTTAATAGATGTATGTCAGCATGATAAAGAGAGCGTGATCAAATGAACCGGAATAACACGAAAACCTTAGACTTGCTGATTAGCACAAAGAATTCCAGAGCATAAAAAATGTACAAATTCTAGAATGTAGCCTGACTTCACGCTAAAGTGAGGTGCAGAGGTCACTCGATAGGCAAGGAGCTAGCTTAAGTGAGCACCGCAGATTCTGATTGCGAACTACGTCATTTTGAACTCATTTTTAACCCTATAAGCACCCCTTAACCCCCAATTTTTCCCATTCTTCTAATTTTCAACCCTAAATATATCTAGAGAGAGTAGGAGAGGGAATCCAGAGAGAGATAAAGTGGAGAAAGGCTAGAAGGACTTGGAATTATTGTAGATTTCAAGGTCGGAGTTTGAATTTCTTGGATTTGATGTAAGGTTCTTTTCCCTCATCTATATTCTATGTTTAATGCCATTATTCATGATTATATGTGATTCCTTGCTAAGACGCACAGACACCATATTTTTTCAAAGTGCCAGTGTCGGACAAGCTAAAATGTGTTTCTATTTTTTTTTATTCTTATTTTTTATTTCTGGACACATTGAAGAGACGCAAACGATAGGTACAAGAAACAGAGAGGACATGTATATTTTGAATTCTTTTAGAGTTTATCAAATGCCTTTATATTTTGGGAGTCATAATCACTACACAAACACAGGAAACAGATAAGGATATGATTTCAGAGGCTAGAAAATGAAATACAAATACAATACATAATTTACATGTCAATAATTGGATAAACATTTGGGGCAATTACGGAATTTTGTAACTAAATGAAAGTTTGTGTTAAAAACTGGGGATGTTGAAATTAAGATGGTATAACTTCAGAATCACGAATATTTACGATGAGTTTATATTCATTTCTTTGATACTTCAGGTTTTTTATGATTTTGTGAGGTGAGTTGTCGGAATTCTAGTGGATCTCTCAGAACTTAAGGATTTTTTAACCCTTAATTTGATGAAAATTATATTATATGATTATATATCTATATCTATATCTTATACTATTTATAAATGTTAGCATCTGTGAAAAAAAATTAATTTCCTATTTTATCCATAATTATTATTATAAAGTCAATTATACCCACATTTACTCTCATCCAATTTTTATTTTCTATACCTAATTAATTTTCAAATTCTTTTGGACTCTTTTATTAGTAGTATTTAACTTGTAAATTTTGTTGGACTCATTTATTAATAGTACACTTACATATAGTTTTCTATATCTATATAGAAGTAAAGTCTAATCTCTATTCTATTATTATATATATGTAGTTGTTAGATTGAATTCTACGGTCATAGTTAATTTGTTAGTATATAACATTATCATAATATTATAATACAACAATAGTATTACAATTTAATTAATTTCTTTGACAAAAAAATATAATTAATATATATTATAGTTACATTTATAACATAATTAGATGTAAAAATACTCAAGGATGATAATCTTATAATGAAGCTCTATTATAAATAAAAGAAGAAAGTTTGGGCGTGGAGGTACCTAAAAAAATGACAAATTAAGTATTCAAGGAAGGGTAGAATAAATTAATAATTAGATTTAGTAATAATTAAAATAGAAAATTAGTTATTCGACACATAATTTATTATTCAATTTAATTACAAATATAATTTAATTTTTTATAAAAATTTTATTATTTAAATATGTTCACGTACAACACACGGCATGCATTGCTAGTATATATATAATATGTAACGTGTACCCCAACGTGTCTGTAACCATGTTTTGTCAACAATTTCATGTCAGTGAGTTCATGCCATTTCGTGTCTATGTCCATGCTTCTTAGATCCGTAGAGATAAACAAGGGATTTTCAGTTCAAATGCGAGAAAGATTACGAAATGTAGAGTTTTACATGAGGTTTTCTAGAAACCCTAGCTCTAATTTGAAATGAGTTTTCTTGTGGATCATTTTATTGTCAAAGTCTACTCTTAACGATGATTTATTGAAAACCTTAGCATGATTTGAAGTGGATTTGTCATATGAGCATCATGTTTCCATCATTTGATGGTTATAAACCCTTGATGAGAATTTCATGTTTTAAATGTTGTAAACTCACAACTTGGATGTGATCTGGGATTGTTTTGGACCTAATTATATAAAACATTATTTAGCAACATTTTGTTGAGGCGGAGAATGTGAATAATGAATAGAGGTGTTGGTTCTATTTCACGATTTGAAATTTGATGCCCACTATGGACTGGTAGAGGATTAGTAGATTATTTTAATTCTTTGCGAGGTTCTCAGAGTTCCTAATACCCCTAGGGAGAATTATTAGCACCACAAGTTCCCATTACTAGTGTTTCTTGAAAAGCCAGAATGACAGTGTTCCCTAAGGTGAAAGAACCCAAAGTTCCTCGGCATGGTCAATGCTTGGACTATTTATGGATCAATATATTTTCCCCATATAAGAAGCATTGATGGTGTTTGACATTCTTAAGATTTGGCTATGGTTATGATGGATCCTATGCGATTTGTAAATCAGTTCTTGAAAGGCATTGGGATTTAAAAATAAATGTTTTGTACTCATTCATAAAATCTACATTTTGTAGATTGATAAACATGAATTTCAAGGCATCTAGCCTAAAAATGGGATATACTGCATTTAATGCATGATTTGACTCAAAACTTTGTGAACTGTTGTTTTCAATGATACGTTTTTTACATTCTACGCACGGAAAAGTTATTCTAATGATCATGGCATAGTTAAGTATCTCTTTTCCTAATTGTTGCTTTAAAATCATACATAAGATTGAGAAAGGATTTATACACTTGGGTAGTTGTGCTCACCAGTCTTTGCCTCTTTTAGAGTTACTTACAAAGGGCAGGGCAGGGCAGCACCATAAGAAAAGGGGACTCTCAGGTCTTGGCACTAGAATATAGGCTAGCTTGTTGTGGACTCTAATTTTTATTTTCTTTCATACAAGTGGTGGCAAAGTACTAGCATTGTGATGTAACTACATTGCTATTTTTGAAGTTGTGATGTAAACATATATCAAGGCCATAGTTATGTTTGGAGTTGATTGAAAGTATTGAAAGTTTTATTGAGTGCAAATAATACTCTCTCTCAAGTCAATAAACTAGATTACAAGAATATAAATATAACCCAAGAAAATTAGAAAAACCCTAGATTACCCAAAAGACAAATATACCCCTTTAAACTCATGATGTGAGCCCTGAGAGCATCGAGAGTTTGCCAAATAAGAACAAAAAACGAGCTGAAGTGTGAGACTTGGTAAAAAAATCTACGAGCCGTAGCAAATAAGATACAAACAATAAAGTAATAGTGCCCAGTTGAAGATGTTGACGAACAAAATGACAATCAATTTCAATATACTTCATTCGCACATGAAATACTGAATTATGAGTGTTAAGAGTTATTATTTATACTATTAGTAGTGTAGGATAATATTATAATTTCCCTAATGTCAGTTTACTATAAATAAGAGAGTGTAAGGCAATATAACATACACAATGATTATTTCTCTCAATCTCTTCCTCCCTTCTTCTTTTGCATAAACCCTAATATCTACTTTTTCCTTTTACTTGGTATCAAAACAATTTTTTTTCTCTCTTTTTAGTCAATAATTGCAAGAACAACATAGTATAAATGATCAGGAGTATAACCTTGCACCGGCGTAATCGCCAAAAAAATGATGTCGTCGTTGGAAAAGTGACATCAACAATTTTCGGGGACTTCAACTATGGTCCAACTCAAAATTTTGTTGCAATAATTATGATGATTTTTTCAGAATTTTTAGAGGTCATCTAAGTTGGTTTTTCTATTTTTGAACTATTTTCGAAAAAAATGGAGCTTTTTTCAAATATGTAGATCTGAGGCCTTTCTCCCTGATTTGTTGCTTGAAGCATAGCCCTAGGGTGCCGACTAGAGCTTCAACATTGTTCCTTGTGATGCTCAACCCTTTTAGGGTGGTCTAGGTGTGTTTTTTGCCTTCTACAGGCCATTCGGCCACAGTTTTCCTTTACTGGACAATGACAAAACTGTTCAAACCTGTCACAGGGTAACTTTCGTTTTTCCTTCGAGGCTACCTGTGAAGGCGTTGCTACTGCAACCAGCCACACTCAAACTCAAGAATAAGGGACAGAAACTCACACAGAAGACACACACGAGTTTACTGGAACAAAACTCCTAAACCTTATATATTGAACTCAACAACTAACAAGGACTCTCAAAGCTAGAACACTCTCCTCTCATCAGAATGCTCAAGCACCCCTATTTATACAAGAGTAAGGCAGATGACACCCCCATCTGCCAAAGAGTAGTTACACACGTTTTTGCTATTCCATAGCATACTGGCTAGCAGGCTTGGTCTCCGTGCGACACCTGGCAGGCAGTTCCACTACTTTTAGTAACTGTTGTGGAACTGCCCTTCTTTAGCATGCATTTAGACTGGATTCAAACTAAGAACGCCCAAAACTGCCTCAGCAACTACCTTGACTGTGTCTCAGCATCATAACCGACCACATCCTCCTGGTCACATGCATTGAACAGCCATGTGCCAGTCAAGTGCCCATATTCAGTAGTCAGCCTGGCTACACGAACCAATGTGCATGTTGGNTCTAGACTGGATTCAAACTAGGGACGCCCAAAACTGCCTCAGCAACTACCTTGACTGTGTCTCAGCATCATAACCGACCACATCCTCCTGGTCACATGCATTGAACAGCCATGTGCCAGTCAAGTGCCCATATTCAGTAGTCAGCCTGGCTACACGAACCAATGTGCATGTTGGGTTCAACCCATGCCATGCAATCCAAAGCTATGCACCCACATTGCTTCAATTGAGCCCACCACGTGTTGCCATGCTCAACCAGGTGT